AACATCAAATTTGACTGCTATAAAAGGAGTTACAAATGAGAGAGTAGCCCCTGGATCTAACAAAGCATAAACATCAAGGTCAAAGACTCGTAACGTACCAGCAACTACATCAGGAGAATCTTCCTGATCCTGGCGAGCCTGGAGAGCATACAACATGTTTTGGCGCTGACCGCCACCTGTACTATATGAGTTACCCTGCTGAGTCGGGCGACCTGCTGGTGCTGCTAAATTTGTAGACTGAGCTCCACCATTGTTTCCTCATTGACCTTGCTTAGAAGGACAATCCTTCAACCTGTGACCAGACTGACCACACCCAAAGCATCCTTCATTTCCTGCAAAACACTCTCCCGGATGGTTCTTACCACATTTCGGACAAGTTGGGTAGGTTCTGGTGCCTGAAACACTACCTTAAGTCTTAGAGCCTGATGCCCTACCTTTTTTATCATTACAGATCTTGGAGGATGGAACACTAGCTAATGAAGGTGTTGGAATTGAAGACTTCTGCTGATACTGCGAGTGATTTCCACTACCCGATTTCTATTGAGAATTGTCATAATTGCATGTCCTTGCTTTCTTATTCTCCTTGGCATGTTCCTTAAGCTTATCACCCTCAACCTGCTAAGCATGAGTCATGAGCCTAGAGATGTTCATATCTTCAAGCAACATAGCCTTCCTACACTTTGTCTTCACTAGATCGGATACCCCATACATGAACTTATTCCTTCGAGCCCTGGAGTCAGCAACCATGTGAGGAGCATACTTGGAGAGTTGGGTGAACTTGAGTCCATACTCTTGGACCGTCATAGAACCCTACCTCAAATTCATAAACTCCTGAGCTTTTGCCTCCCTCAACTCTCTTGGGAAGAACCTGTCCAGAAAAGTCTCACTAAAGCATTCCCAAGTAATAGGAGCTGCATTTGTACCCGTGTTCTCTTTCCACTGAGTATACCAGTTATGAGCTACATCCTTAAGCTGGTAAGATGCCAACTCAACCCTATCATTTCCAGTTACATGCATCACTCCAAAGAACTTCTTGACCTCATCAATGAAGTTTTAGGGATCCTCACCAGTCTGTGATCCTAAGAATTCAGGCGGATTCATCCTCATGAAATCATGAGCTCTAGCTGCAGCTGACCCAACATTAGCATTTGCCGGAACTGGAGCCTGCTGATTGTTCTGGTTGGTCACGCTCTAAGCCAACAACATGATAGCGTTCCAAAACTCCGCATTCAAAACTTCCTAATCTGGGACTTGAGGAGCTGCGTTTGCATTCCTAGTATTCGCATTTCTTCCATAAGCTCTACGAGGAGGCATGATCTGAAATGCAAAACAATGAGTCAGAATGAGGAATTAGATCATACCTTACGCACGATAAGAGTAACAAAGAAATTGAAGTTTTCCTAAAACACTTCATAGCCTCCCTCTCATTAGATGTGGTGCACTTCACACCCATGAAAAGGACTCTACTTAGTGCGACATTTTAGACATCCTAGGACTCTTAAACCTAGTGCTCTGATACCAAGTTTGTCACACCCCGAGGCTACCCCCGGACGCGGACACGGGACCTAGGATCACGAGTGACCCCAAGCTAACCCTGTTGGCATAATCATGAGCATACTAAAGATAAACTGAGTAATAAAACTGTGCGGAAGATAAATCATATGAAAGTCTGAAATGATGGGGAATACCCATACACTGTCTAGATATATGAAAACTGTGAGTTGAGTACAAATGAAAGGTCAAACTCTAACACTATAGCTGAATCTAACTATGTCTGAAATAAAGCCTCTACTGACTAGAAATACTAGGACATGACCCAGCTAGATCTAGCAAAAACTGAAACTAAAGATAAAACCAATAAAGATAGCCATGTCACTAGTCCTCGAAGAATGAGGACTCACCACTAATGCTACTGAACAGAAGATCGGGAACCGATCTATGCGTGATCTGACTGTTGAGGACCTGAACCTACGTCACGAGAAGATGTAGCATAGAGTATGCATCAGTACTTTAGAGGTATTGAGCATGCAGGATAGAGCAAAACTGAATAATAACATAACTGAAAATATATCTGACATGAGATAAGCTTGATACAACTGAGAATACTGAACATGAAACACTGAATGCAATGACCAAGTTTATAACAGCCTGAGACTGAATACTGAACTACACTAATAACATGGCCAATGCAATAGAGTGTGACTGAACTGTAAGGAAGCTACTAATAACCGACATAAAACCATATGAGCTAAATGTGGAGTCCGATGTATACTCCCCATCGAGAGGACCCAATATACCTTGCCAGAGGTATAGAGGCATGCTGGCATGATCGCTAAAATGATGCCCACAAATGGGACTTACAACCTACGGGGTACGTAGTTCTAGGACTTGAGAGTGACTAACCCTAGTCCACTCGGTATTAAGCTTCCCAATTGATTAAGTAATTTACCATTTTTATGACTGCAGTTCTGTAATACTGGATAGCTCAAATACTGACATGCAAACTCTGAGAAAGTAACAATTATGATTGATAATGTGACATTTGTAAACTGAAGCATGTGTATATCTGGAATAACTGAATAATCTGGCCTAACATGCATAATTCATGAACTAACGAATTTATACAACTAGGGTTTTGAATATCATATGAGAAACTGAGTAATAACATGATAATCTAATTTGGATCATTCTAACAGCTGAAAACCCAATAATTCTAACATTCAAGAAACCCTAGGTCTAGATAACATTAAGGGAATCAAGATTCTGACAGAAATCTAGCGACCTAATGGGTGAAAGAAACCCACTAGTGAAATCCCACATACCTGGTGACAAATTCCACAGAGAAATCTTTCGATTTCGGGGCTGGAACTGATGGAACCTTGTTGTGTTCTTGAACTAGGGTTCTTGACCTCTTTCTCCTCTTACTCTCTAATTTTTCTAAGTTTTGATGAATGATTTGACTTAGGTAAGTTTCAGTTATGTTTCTAGGCTAAAACTAATCAAAACTACGTAGTTTAGGGTTTAAACGACGTAGTTTAGGGGTCCAATGCATAAAGAAAAGACCAAAAGACCCCTGACTTAAAAGTTGTCGGGGTCACCGACAGACGGGACGGACGAACCGTCGATCGACTGATGGTTCGTGTTGGTCAACCGTCAGTCGACGACTGGGAGCTGAAAGTTGGGGGTTGACCCACGGCCCTGACCACAGACCATGGCCTGACCTTTGGTCCGTAGGTCCTGGCGTGGGAGGACCCTTAGCTAGATTTTTGGCTACTTCTGGGGGAGGGATGCAGTGACCATCCACGGACCACCAGCACGGATCATGGGTCACCCTACGGTCCGTAGGTGGTGCCCGTCGATGGCACCTGTAGCTTCTGAAATCTTCAAATCTGGTATGTTTTCAGATATGGGGTGTTACATGGATAATGTAGGTCGAGAAATTGCACCGACAACTTTTCTACCCCTTTTCTTGGGTGCTTTTCCCCTTTCGCTTTGGAAGGTGAAGGTACATTCTTCATCGACATTGCCTTCTTAGAACTTTGATTCGTCATAGTCAATGGATCAATAAGCTTTTAGATCTGTTTTCAGTGCATTTAGGATCATTAGAATCATAAATTCGATCAGTGTTAGATGTATCTAATCGAGTAATCACAATACTGAAAAAAAGAGCATCTTCCATATATATATAAGAAAATTGATGAATTTTTTTTTTCGAAGAACAGCAACATGGAGAAGACGATAAATACCTACTGATAGATTTGAAATTGATTGACTAGAGAGAAAGCTTTTGAAATTCAAATTGGAATTATGGGGATAACTAATTAGATTATGGGAGTGAAAATAATGAGAAATTGAAGGAGTGAAAGTAGGAGTGGTGAAAGGTGGGTTTGGAGTGGAGAGTAATGTATTCAAACGTTTGGGCTTTTGAATGGAAAAGATGGATTTTTAAAAAAAAATTGAAATGGTAGAGAATAATATAAAATATAGTAAATAAAGGTGTGTAGATAGGTAATTTTTCCTTTAAAATAAAAAGAGGTATAAAAGTAATGAGACATTTAAGCGTAAATATTTTATTTCTTGAGATACAAGTGTTCTTTTCCCTTTCAAATACCACCTAATTCTTTTTTCAAATTTGATACTTAGGGATGGCAATGGGGCGGGGCGGGGTGAGCTTAACTCGCAAATTTTTTAATCCTCCCCACATAACAACTTTTTTTCATTTTCAACCCGCCCTACCCCGCCCCACATAAACCCGCCCCGCATGAACCTGCCCCGCATAACTTTTTTAATATTTTTTTTCCAGTTAAGTTTGATACTAAAAATAAAATTCATAACAATAAATTATTTTTTTCATTAAGTTGTATTGATTTAATAGGATAATGACTTAAAACTTTATTTTTTAGGGGTCAATTGGAAAACATGTAAGAAATTGTATTAATTTTTATTGAACCATTTTCATATACTATCTCGAACAATTTAGTAGATTAATAGAAATTGTCTTGATAAATAATGTTATATCACTCTTATAACATACAAAAAGTTAAAATTAAATTTGAACCCACATAAAATCACATATACCCACAACCCGCACCGCATTAATTTTTAAAAAACCCACTTCAACCCGCCCCGCCCTGCCCCACATAGCCTTAAACTCACCCCGCCCCCATCCACTCCGCCTCATTGCCATCCCTATTGATACTTTAGCGGTAAGGATACCAATTTCTAAAATCATTTTTGCATAATTTCTCATAATTCTCCCACTTCGCCCGAAGTACCATCACTTGCTCGAGTTCATTCCCTCATGATTGCAAGGAAAGATTTTTGTTAAGATTTTTATCTTTCTTACAAGGAAATAGCCTTCTAGAAAAAGTGCCTTGACGAAATGATAACCAAAGGCAAACAAAACAAAACAAAGTTGATGTTTTTCATTTTTCCATCTACAATTTCAATAATTGATCATCTTGTTCCATGCAATGGACAAAGCACATTGACAACTCTACTCAGAAAAAAACAGCTAGGCCGGCATGACAAATCAAGTCTCTGTTCACCTAAAACAAAATTCACACCAGAAAAAGGACAAGAATATACTAATTCACCAGCAAAGTTATAATAGAAGGTTCTTTTATGAATCTGTTTTTGTATGCAGCCAACTCTGAAGAGCATTCAGTCCCTTTGCGTTGAACGAGATGGGAGGTCTATCAACTACACTGAGATTGCATGTTAACGAGCATGAACAGTCCCATATAAAGTACCGCACAACACATTTTTTTACTGTTTCTACGCTTGTAAGGATAAATAAATACTTTCTTACTGTTTGTACGCTTGTAATGATTGAAGACAAGTCGTAACAAAGATATGAAAAAATCTTCATTTTTTTCTTTCTCCAGAAATATTATCTGAATGGCACTCCTAATTCTCATCAACTCTTTAAACTCTCCCCTGAGACATCTGAATGCTGACAAGTTTATCAAAATTGCTGATACATAATCCTTACCACTAACTTTATGACAGCAAAATTTGTGTTCCCTAACCACTTGATTGTATTCACCAACCAAGGTAAATGAAACATGCAACTTAACAGTCCTGCAGAAAAAAATACAAAAAGGTGCATCTTAGTTCTCCACTTCAATTAACATGACATTTGAAATTTGAAAGCAGAAATAGCAAGCATACTGAGACACTTGCTATAATATGAAATATACCAAATGTATCAGCATCTATAACCATTACAGGTACAAAATATGTGTTCGGCTCCAATTCCAGATTACAGTACTTCTACTATTGGTAACATCAAATCAAGAGACAAATTATCAGGCATAATAAGAATTACACTAAGGTAAACTTTACATAGCATTCTCCGATAGAATCAAGAAAATTTCAAAATTACTCGTGTCACCTGAAGACTAAACTTTAGCTCTTTCACCAAGTACTTCCAATATCCATAGAGAAGACTCGAAAAATAATGGTTTAGGCAAATTATCAATTCTGCAGCCAAATGCAAATCGATTCATCCAAGGCAATGGAACTCCTTTTCAATTAATGCAAGTCAAGTCATTCTACAATAGATAGTTGAAGGAGAATAAGAAATGTTTGCTCTTTAATATGGATCTCAAGAGCAATGAGGAAAGTATTCCTTCGTTTGTGCTGTGTACACTGATGCATGGGGAGCCATCCTAACAGCAAAGAACCTGCAGAGGACAATCTACATTAACTTGAGCTTCATGCACGAGCAAGCATGAGAGGATGTCAACCATCTAATACTCGGTTTCCCTATCGCGTACATGCTGCAAAGCATGGTGTGTAACAATGTCAGGAGTCTACTGGGCGATATGCTAGAGACTGTAAAATAGTGGTACTAGGGTGGAAACTCAGAAAGAGCAGTGCTCATGTGTACCATATGGAAGGAGATTCATATCAGCGTGCTTTTAAGAGTGGATTTTACCATTTTACACATAAGCAGAACAGGTTGGCTTTGTGTACTTTTTGGGAAACATTTGACTAGATCCTCTTTGTAGAGAATCATGTTAGTATATAAACATCAGTGACGTTTAAAGTCTTCGTGCAAAACTATGTTATTTTGTAAGTTAGTCTACTTTTGTGCACACCTTATGTATGCAGGGTTTCCCATCATAAACGCTACTGCTGTTTATCTGCAGATACAACTTTAAATAAACACAATCAATTAGTTATAAAATTTAAATTCAAGAATTTTCATTCGAGTTGGCTGATGGAAATAAGTGAACTGACTCTCACTTTCTGCTTCAGAACGATTCCCTTACTCTCAAAATTTCCTTTAATCAATCCCCTCTCCATAGTCGTTTCCATCCTCTCCTTCATCATATGTCTCCTCTCGCTTCCTTCCCCTTCTTAGACAAACCTCTTTCCCTTTCCTCCCACCTCATTTCCTCTATATTTCCTCTCCATTTTTTAAGACTTCAAGGCTAACTCTCTAACGTAAACTAGACCCTGAATTTGTTCCCCATCCTACATCAAACAAGTTAAAATCAACATCCAGAATGCCCCCACAAGCATCCCCCACTTTTCTGTGGACTGGCCAGAGTTTCTTTTAGGTCTAATATTATAGCTTCTTTGTAGGTCTATTATTTGCTTCTTTGCTTCTAGAGAGGAGTTTAAACACATTTGTTTCCATTCTACACTTCTTTCTACAAGCTCATAATGCTACTTTTGGTATTGCAAAACCACTTGGCATATGTTCTGCAGAGCCGAACATTGATCAATAATAGTATCTTAGGCCTTGTGGAAATCCACCCTATTATCCAACAATCTCATTATTTTCCAGAGCAACACCAAGTGCACGGTTTCTTCTTCACCTTATTATTCTCCTTAAATAATCATTTACCATAATCTTCCTATTAAGATGACTGTTATAAAACTGTCAAATACATAGAGAATGAAGCAATTTTTTTTTGAACTTGGTAACTTTGTATTATATCACAAAACAGTACATGGGTCGTACTGTAACCTTATATACAAGAGTACTCCTGATTTCACTTCTCTACGTCTAAATTGAGTCTAACACATCAATAATAGAGACAGTGTCATTAGAGTATAACTGATTACTCCAAAAGACTAAAAGTAAAATGCAGTTTAGTTTAACTTTCTGCACATTGTTCTCTATGCTCTCAAAACATCTTGAATTCCTTTCTTTCCAAACAGCCCACCAGATAGCCCCCGGGATAATTCTCCATCTACCTCTATCCTTGGCATGTACACCTGCTTCCTCCCAGCATAGTAATGCCTCAGCCACCTTCCTGGGCATTGTCCAGGAGATGCCTTTGTGGCTTAGGAATATTCTCCACAGATGATGGGTGTACTTGCAATGTAAAAATAGATGGTTAACAGTCTCAGATGTTTCACCACATAGGAAGCACCTAGAACACAGGGTTCTCCCCCTCTTCATAACATTGTCCTGTGTAAGGACTGCTT